AGCGGCCAGGCAGCCATGGCAGACTACGAAGTGCCCGACCCCCCGCCGCCCCCTGGCTCTCCACCTTCTCTCCGCCGACTCCTTGCTCTCCCTCACGAGGTATGTCTTTGAACCTCTAATTTCACCAGCTTCTGCTGCATTTTAGCCCCTTATTTTGAAATCTCTTTATTGAAAATTGGTGGTCATCTTGCAGAATGTGTGGAGGAGGATCACTGACAAAGACTGCAGAAGTTTGTTTGGGATCATGTTCTCAAAAACGCTATGAGTAATTAGGTTTGATTTTCTCAGAAATTTCTTTGAGGTTTAGGGTTTTGATTTTTCGTTTTCGTTTTCGTTTATTAAAAGGAAATCAATTTGGGAAATTAGGTTTGGTTACTAATCTGGTGAAAAGGGGAATGAGGAGAAATTAGGCATACCATGGGACCTGGATGATGTGGAAAGTAAAAAGAAGAGGGACTCATAGGAAATGGTGTGAAAAAATGCACAAATGGTACCCCTAAATCTGCGGGTGTAAGAAAATGTCATCTCATTATAAGGTAAATGGATTTTTTAACGGTAATTATGTCAGCAGTTAAATAATAAGGTATTTGTATTAATTGATAACTTGAGTTGTGATTTGTCCATGGATTTTTTTGAGGCTGGATTTGCCCCTGCCACCTTGTTTGGAGGGCAAATTTGAGGGTTCTGCCTTTGGAGATCTGGTTTCTGCATTTTTTAAGGTTTAGGGTGGATTAGAATTGAAGGTAGAGTTGTGATCCTGAAATTGTCCTTCACAGGTTTGGTTATTGAATTTGAAAGCTGCCCCTTCGTTTTCCAGCCTTGCCTTCCTTCTAGGAATCAGAAGTCTCACTTTCTGATTGATAAAGAAGGAAAAGAAAGCAAAATTGTAAAAGAAATTGAAAACCTTTAGCCGTTTTTAGATATTTTGAAATCCAGAAATGAGTGCAATCAATGGCGTTAATTTGAGGCAAGTCTTGCCTGTATGTGGTAGCCTCTGTTAGTTTTGCAGAAATGAGTGCAAAGATAATAGCCTTTGTTGAAATGTGAAAAAGAAAGGAAATTTTGAAGATTTTTTTATTTAATTTATTTGTTCAATATGATATTACTCGGGTTTATTATGTTGTTCCTTTGGAATTTGATTCTGGAGTTGTATTTTACAGTTTAGTTAAGAAGCATGGCTGTCTGGAGTTGTATTGGTTCTTTTTTCCTTTTCTTATTGTTTATGCTCTTAAGTCAATTTCATGGTTTGGATGATGGGAATTTGAAAACAAGCATGGTAACCTCATCTTTTACTGGTATATATTTGATTTACCCAAATATTGAACGATCACTAAGGAATCTAGGCTTTTCTGCACCTAGAGGTAATATTTGATTTATCTTTGATAATCATGTGAGTTAAGTATTATTTTTTTTTCCCAGAAGAAAGAGTTTAGTAGATTATTAGTTAATTTGACAAGTAGTTCGTACTTGGCAAATAAAGCTCTCAGTCATGCTGTGCAGATTTAGCGTCTTTTAGTTTGTCCCAAAATTCTGCCATTGTTTCATCCAATCATCTAAAAATTTAAGAGAAAAGTGTGTAGTTGGAGGGACAATGTGGAATGTTTACATGTTGAAGAAAGTTGAGTTTTGAGGTTGTTCACTTGAAAATGATTAAATGAAATTGAGAGGGATAAATCTGAAAGAGGCAAAATTGCTGACAAATTGCTGTTTTTCCAGAACTTCGGGGTGACGATTGCTCACTGGTTGACCTTCATTTCTCAAAGCCTGACAATATTGAATTGCTATGTTTACGTCATTTTTGTAAGTTTTGATTTGGTTTTCCTGTTGTTAGTTGAAACTCCTAATTGAAATTGCTTTTATATCATGCAGTTCTGGAGCATCAGATAATATGTACTTTTCACTAAGTTTATATGTTATAATGATTGATAGTTAAACAAGGTTTCTATTTTGACACTATTTCCCTTTCCTTTTCTTCCTTTTTTCAGGTCTTATTGTTTATGTTATAATGATTGATAGTTAAATAAGAGGTTGGGAATGTGTTTTCTTGAGTTTCTCACTTTTTTTATTCACTAAGAAGCGCTTTTTTTTTTTTTAAAGTTAAATTCATTATGGAAGATATGGATTTTTATTAAGCTCTTAGCATTGTGGTCGAAGAATAATAAATTTGGTTCTAGTTCTTCTTTAATAGTAGAATTAATACATGATCAAACTTGGAAGGCACATGATTATGATTTATGAATGCTATCTAGACTCTTTTGTCTTTTCTTAGTTTTTGATTCGATCATGAGGTGATTGTAGCCATTTCACTAAGTTATTTCACTGTGATTTAGTTTTAATGAGTTGAATCAAACTTGAAAGTAAGCAGATTTTCCTTTGTGTTTTCCCCTTTTTTTACCTTTGTCTATCAATTGATAAAGACCATTTTTTAGGTTTATGTCTGGAAGTGTGATTTTTCCTTTATTATTATTTTTTTAATATCAGTTTCAGTTCCTTTTTTTTGTTTTTTTAAGTTGTTAAAGAAGGTTTTATCAGCTGAAAACATATCCAATAATCTTTCGTTGATGGTGATGGCATAAAAGAAGTTGAGTTCAAGTAGTTTTTGTGATAGATGGTAAGATAAGCTTCGTGGATGGTTGTTGTTGGTCTTCCTGCCTAAATTGTTCACTAAAGAACTATGTTAGTTTATGGTTTATAGATGGAGTGGGAAACGGTGGGTGTTTGTCATTTGTGGTTGCTGCTATGTTTTCTGTAGGGTGGATTATTGAATTGTGAAATTTTGTTCACTAATTCCTTTAAAAGCTCAATGATGACTCAATATCAAACATTGGTTTCTTCTCATTTTCCTAAATATTTTCTAATGCTGGAGTCTTGATGTTGGTTTTTGAGCCTTAGCGAATGTGGGAGTTACAGATGCATGGATTTTTCATGTCCAGATACATTGATTTCTTTGTGTCTGGATTCTTCAGATTTGTTTTTATTTTTTATTTTCGTTTTTCAGGTCTAGATACATGGATTTAAGGTCTGGATATAGGGATGTGGAATGGAGGAGAAACAGTGGAGGTGGCGGAAGAGAAAACTTTGGGGATAAAAGGGTAAGCATAATACCCTTTGTTTCTACTACTGCAGCTGTTGCAATGGATAAAAGGCAGGCTTGGGATATTTAAAAAAAGAAAGAAAAGGAAAAAAAAGGGGGCTATTGGTTTTCGGTTGGTTTTTACCTTTTTTTTTGTTTAACCGGAATTGGGAATTTAGGTTTTTAAATTCACTTGGAAACGGGTTTTAGACAAGTACATCCCGTGTAAGAAATTTAGTTTTTATTATTACATTTCTGCTGTTTATGCTTGACATGAACATCATAATTGGACTGCTTGGTACCAATTTCTAACAGCAACCTTTTGTCACCTTGTCTGTATGTTTTAGCTTTGGTATTAATTTATTTCCGATTTCTCTCTTTTTTTCTTTGGGTACTTAATTGCTCGCTGTGTTTATGAAATAAAAAACTGTGCCAGTCGCAACTTTCTATCATTTTCTAGTCTTTTCCAGCACTGCCTTCATCACAACTCAGAATGCCTGAGAAACAGAAATTGTGTTTCAGTGTTTTTTATCTCTCATCTACAGAGGATAGAAGAGGGTTCAAAGGTAGCATCTTCTTCATATTTTCTTCGTTTTAGTTACTTCTATAGTTTCATACTTGACATGTTAACTTGCAGATTTTTCCTTTTTTTTTAATACTTTCCGGCAACTTAGCATCCATAGCTAGGCAAATAAATTGATGATGGGTGGATTTCTTTGATATTACATTGATTGAGGGCTTTACTTTAATTATTTGTTACAGAGAATAAAGACCATTTCATGACTTCGGTCTACATCCGTCTATGGTTTTATTATCATCTTGGTTATCAAAAAGAGTTCACTTTTTAAGCCGTGGTTTTCATGTGGTTTAGGGCAACCCTTTTCTTTTTAGATTTGTAGTTGTACGGGAAGCCATGGGCCTTGGTTGGTTTTTATGTTTTCTTTCCATTTTACATGAACTAAACTGTCAAATTTATTGATTTGGAAATTGAATATCTAAATCCATTTCTTCTCACTTAATTTATCCTCTTGGGGGTAATCATCCACTTTGATCAACATTTTTGGATTATTAAATATCATAATTATACTGATTTATGTACTGTATGAGATTAATTATCAGTCTTCATATTGTATTATCCCTTGAACTTGACAGTAGTTTCATTTCTGATGGGAGTGATCATGACATTGATCACTTGACACCCTTTTTTATGTTAGAATCTAATTTTTCTTCAATGTGTAAAATGGTGATGCATCAATCAAACTCTTGATCTATTGGTACGACTCTTGAGCTTCTTTATTTAAAAATATCTCATTCTTTATCTTTCATTTTCCTGTCTGTGTGGCTTAGATTTTATGGATAGTTCAGATTTTGTATGGAGGTAATTGTCAATCAAGGGGAGATAAAGCTATGAAAAGAAAACAAGAGACAAGAGTAAACCTTTGTTTGCTAAAACTTAGATGCTATTTAACTTAATTTTTATTTTCTTTTATTCATATTCGAATTTTAGACTGAGTTTTAGTTTTTTGTTTTCTATTTTCTATTTGCAGTTCAAGTGCTCTTAGTTGTCTTTATTTACTTAGTCTAGACTGCCAATGAGAGGGAAATAGGTGGAAGGGTTTAGTAGTGGCAGGTTGTGTTCTAACATCTGACTCCAGGGTGAGGAAGAGATGGTGAGAGAGACTCGGTAGCCATAATATCTTCTAATTATTCCTTCCCATTCTTTCCTCAATTCTATTCTCCAATCTTTTTGTCACCTTTGATGTGCAATTGCAGGAGTTTTGGACTATGGCTGGAGTCCTTGGTTCAATTAACAATTTTGTATAATGAAGGAAGTTTTGGCTATGCTTTTCTCCAATTTTTATTCCTTGGATGAGTGTGTTTTAGGGCTGACAAGGGGGCAAGGCAGCAGTGATGGATGAAAGGGGGTAAAAATTTGATAAATAAACTAAAGCAAGTCATTTGTGTGTTATAGGATGGCAGGGACTTATCTGAGCTTTATTTCCGTGTGCAGGGTCTTTATGTCCTTAACTGATATTGATTCTTAATCTACACATTATAAATTTATACGACTTGAAATGGTACTCTATTCTTTTCTGTTATATATGATAAAATTTACAAATTCAAGTGAACAACAAAAATTTTTGTGAAGCCTATTACATTAGATCATGATAGCTTAAATTGTTTTTTTGTTCTACTCTAAATTGTTGTTCTGTATTTTATTTTTACTAAAAACTCCATCTTTGGTAGCTTTTATTTATCTACTTGGCAGGATTCACTAGGTCGTAACAGCATAGAACTTTTATGATAGGTGAGTAGCATTTTCTGTTTGTCCGTTACTGTCTCAATACATAGCAGTTTAGACTACCTTCCATTGGATTTCTCTTATGTCCTTAAATCTTTTACCTTATTATTTCTTAAAAGTATAATTTCTGCTTCTTTTGGTTGCCCCTTAACAACATATCCTGTGCATGCTGACTTCTTCACTGGGTTAGAAATATGCTTCATGGGAATATTTATAAAGCATTTCTCATATTTTTCTTGCGTTCTATAGGTGGTGCTATTGTGGTATGAAATGTTTATTTTATTTCCAGCTCCTTCTCCGCAACTTTATTTCTTTAGTTTTTTTCATAGATATTATTTTTTACTGTTATTTTTTTTCTCATATGTTTCTTTAAGCAGCCTGTATTAGTTTAGCTGATCTCAATGCTGGGGAAATGATTAACACTTTAAAGTATGCTAATCGTGCCTGCAATATCCAAAACAAACCTGTTGTGAGTAGATATTAACAACCCCTCTCCCATTTTTCTTTTTCTATTTTACAGTTACATATGAGCAATTTTTTGCCATTTCTAAGAGTTAGTTCTCTGTATTTATAGGTTAACCGTGATCCTATTACCAATGACATGCTAAATATATGCCAACAGCTAGAGTATTTGCAGGCAGAACTTTATGCCTCTGGGGGGTCCGATGAAATGCAGATATCCAACTTCTTTACACTATCAAATAAACTTAATATTTCCTTTAGAATTTTATTGTTATAATTTTATTATTTATTTATTTATTTATTTTTATTATTATTATTTTGCATTCATTTCTTAACATTCAGAAGCTTTTTCTGTTGCTTTTCTTTTGATTAGTCTTGACTCTTGAGGTTTTCTAGGGGAATAATTTATATCAGATTTATAAGTTTCTAAGGAAGGTAATTGTGGAGGTCCTCAAGGGAAAATGGGACTCCTAATGGTCATGAAAAGCAAGATAGATTTGTTTGACTGGGGGTTCTAATGTAAGCTAAATAATCACATTAAAATATTAAATAAAAGTTTCTAAATGGTAATTGTGAAGGTCCTAAAGGAAAAATGGGACTCCTAATGTAATTTAACTGTTATTGCTTGATTCTTTATATGGCCTTATAGGGTTTGTTAACTATGTAGTGATTCAAAGTTTTTCATTTCAATTCTTGATGTTGCATTTGTTGATCTGAGAGAGAGTTCATTGTCTTTTTGCATAAGCTCTGTCTTTCACCTATGCCAGAAATGGCTTCCT